TCCTCTGTTACTGAAACCAGGGCTTCATAACAGGTTAATATAAAGGACTCTTAAGTTGCCTCTAAGCTCCAGAGGACAGAAAGTGTTTCAGTCACTGCAGTGGGGCCGGAGCCTCGACTGTGCCTTGTGAAGGGAAGACCTGGAGTTACAGAGGCAGGTTGAGGAGAGACAGACCTCACCACCCCACTGCCTCTCAGGAGTCCTAGTATTGCCTTCGGTTGGCCCTGGTACGAACGAGGCCATGTGCCCTGACTGGAGATGGAACCTGCAACCTCGGTGTTTTGGGACGATGCTCTAACCAAACGAGCTACTCTGCCAGGGCTGTTTCTGCCTTTTGCTGTTATAAAACTGCGTTTTGGGTTTAGAAGTAAAGTTAATCTCATAATGGGCTAACAACAGTATTCCCTCTAATTACATACTATGGATAGAATAGCAGATATCCCTACGGTTGGAGTAGCTCAGTTTAACAATGCGTATGGTCTCAACTCAATCTCCAAATAATATAGCTTTATGGGTTTTTTAGACGGTCTCACTGTTGTTTGCATTAGAACACAAAATCTCCTGCAAATCCATTGGAAGGTATGGTGGTTAATTTTCCGTGTTGACTTGAACAGGCTAAGGGGATGGCCAGATAGCTGATAAGACATTATTTCTGGGTGTGTCTTCCTTCGAGGATATTTCCAGAAAAGATTAGCATTTGAATCTGTGGAGGGAGTAGAGGGATCACCTTTACCGACAAGGGTAGGCATCATCTCATCTACTGACAACCCAAACAGAATGAGAATGTGCAGGAGGAGCCAATTCTCTCTTTTTGAGCTGGGACATCACCTTCTCCCGCCCCTGGCTTTTGGAGCTCCTGGTCCTGAGGCCTTCAGACTCGGAGTTACACCATCAGCTCCCCTGATTTTCAGGGCTGTGAACTCAGGCTGAATCACACCACCGGCTTTCTCCACCAGCAAACAGCACATTGGGACTCCTCAGCCTCTGTAATCACACGAGCCAATTCCTATAGCAAATTTCCTGATGTATACCTGTCTATCCTGTTGGTTCTGTTTGTCTGGAGAACCCTTACTAATACAAAAGGAAAATGAGCAGATATGAGAAGTAAAAAATATCAAGTTCACCTTATATAACTCAAAAGTTTTTGAATTTGACCTTTACATAGCACTCCAACCATAGGGATATCTGCTAGTCTATCCATAGTATGTAATTAGAGGGAATACTGTCGTTAGCCCATTATGAGATTAACTTTACTTCTAAACCCAAAACACAGTTTTATAACAGCAAAAGGCAGAAACAGCCCTGGCAGAGTAGCTCGTTTGGTTAGAGCATCGTCCCAAAACACCGAGGTTGCAGGTTCCATCTCCAGTCAGGGCACGTGCAAGAATCTCTCTCTTTCTTTATTCTTTCTTTCTCTAAAATCAATGAACAAAATACTTTAAAACATATTTAAAAGGCATAAATTATCCTCCTCCTGGGTAGCTTATAACTTCATTACAGAAGTACCATTGGCTGGAAAAACAGATGTCAAGATAGCGGCACAGAATCTGGAGTATCTCACAGCCACTTCGAATACAACCTGATTGCACTTCATTTCAGCCCTGGTACCACCACCATCAGCTCCCAGAAGGAACGCAGTGGGCAGGTTGTTGGGATATACTGTGGTTTGCAGGACTTGGAATAGAGGAATGGTGGCCGGACTAGCTGAAGCAGGTAGGTCCTCTAAGTGTTTAAAAGAAACTGCTTTCATGTCATGTTGGGGTTAAAACTTTCACCATTTTGATGTCATGTTTGTTCAGAAACACTACTAAATACCATAAACACTGTGAGAGGGTAGCTAATGATTCATATTACTTAGTGCCAGTCAAGGTCAAACAGAGAAAATGAAAACTGGGTACTCAGTCCTAATCTGAATGGTGCTGCAGTGTTGAGATTTTGTTTCTGAGGAATATTGACATGTGAGGCAAACCATCTCGGGTTAGGCAGACCATCTACGCCAGGGAAGCTACACAGATGTTCTCTCCAACTGGCAACAGAGAGGTTTTGTGGGGGGGGACATGGGACAAACTGAAGTGGAGAGATGGATGGCTTTTTCAAGAAGCTCTACAGAGCATACAAATGTAAGAACTCCGTAGAGTCGGAGGAAAACACAGGGGGAAAAAAAAGAACACTAACAGATCATAACAGAAGATTAGAAATCCATCACAAGAAGCCAGTCAAAACTTTCAATAATTTATGGATTGAAGAATACATAATGAGATTGATAAAATATTTAGACCAGAATCACGTGTCTATGCATCCAAACTTGTGAAATGCAGCTAAAGTGGTCATTTGAGGGAGGAGTAAAAATTAATAAGCTAAACTATCAGTTCAAAAGGTTGGCAGAAAAAGGGTAACTCCAAAGGAAGTAGAAAGAGAAATAACAAAAAAAACCCATGTGAAAATGAATGACATTGAAAAGAAACAATAGAAGCAACAAAATAAAAAGATGAGTGTTGAAAAATGGCCATTTTTTAACCTCTGGCCAGATTACTATATTTTTTGGACTATAGGACACACTTCCCCCTACCCTCCAAATCTGGGAGGAATAATGGTTGTTAACGCTGCTGTTGAGTTCTGTTTACATTTACATTGGTGAAATATTATGTTATTTATGTTATTAAATATTTTACCACATTTTTTGCTTCAATTTTTTTTTCCTGTTTTCCTCCTCTAAAACTTAGGTGCATCTTATGGCCTGAAAAATACAATAATCAAGGGAAAAGAGCCAACATACACTGTTAGGTACAAAAATGGGGACTAAACTGTGTATAAGAGAGATAGCTTAAAAAATAAAGTGTGGTATATAAAACACAGAGAATGCTATAAAGACATTAAAAAGAATTCAACATATAGGCCCTGGCTGGTATAGCTCAGTGGATTGAGCACAGGCCTGTAAACCAGATGATTGCGGTTTGATTCCTAGTCAGGGCACATGTCTAGATTACAGGCCAGTTCCCAGTGGGGGGATGCACAAGGGGAAACCATACATTGATATTTCTCTCCTTCTTTCCTTCCCTTCCCCTTTCCTTCCCTTCCCCTCTAAAGATAAATGAATAAATTTTTCTAAAAAAAGAATTCAATATACGTAAAGAGGTAAATCTAAAAAAATGCAAACTGCAGAAGCAGAGCATGTTACTCTTTGTGTAAACATTTAAAACACACTAAGCTATATGTACACATGAAACACAAGTGTACTAAAAGTACAAAACACGAAGAGAAAGTTACTCTGGGCAAGAAAAAGAATGGAATCAGAAAGGAGTACAAAAACCTTAACTCCCCCAGGGCGTTTACGTTATATCTGCGTGTGTATGTTAGTGCTGGGTTGTAGGCTCCTGTGTGAGGTATTAAGCTCTGTTCTCTTCTATCCTTGAAATATCATGTAATTTAAAGAGAGTCACATAAACTATATGAAATCCGGTTCAATTCCTTTTATCTTTCAGGGTAGTTTTCAAAGCATGTCCCTTTCACATGTTACCAACCTGCATCACCTGGGAACAAGTTATAAATGCAAATTTTCAAAGCAACCCTACGCCTACTGAATCAGAGACTCTGATTACTTTCATATTTTACACTGCATTTTATTGATTCTAAAATGCCCTTTTTCATGTTTAAACAATCCTGAAGTTGGGTTGTTACTTACAATCAATATGTCACAGTTTAATTAGCAGCATTTTTCTTGCTTATAGTACATAACTGAAAAGGATGTCTTAAAATCAATAGCATCTCTCTCTCTCTTTTAACAATCAGAGCATCTTAAGATGGATGAAGATAATATCCATTAATAGGGATAATAGGGAGTGGAGAAATATATTATTTTAATGGTCCAGATCTACTCTTGGCTATGTTTTCCTCAAAAAATTCCATAAGAAAAAAACTGAAATAGCGTTATATAATTAGGTTATTCAGTCATTTAGTGAGCTACTTCTATATACAACAAGGCACTGTGCTTTGAGGACGATGGGGGACATAAGAAAGAACGAGACCGTTTCTACGGTATTGTCTCCACTGCTATAAGTGTCAGGACCCGTGGGGAATGACACAATGCAAAATTTCCTTTATAAACGGTTAGAAACCCGATCGGTGACTCTCAGCACATCGGAAAGGAGAAAGGTTGCAGTGACTTCCCTAGAACCCGCAGGTCGAAGGGTCCCGCTTCCTCCTGCGGTTTAAAGGACGTGCTCACCCTCTGGGAACTTCGCCCTCTGGGCCTCGGCCTCACAGGCGCCGCCGAGCTCCGCCCGGGGCGCAGAGGAGGTCCGGGAACAGGCTGCGCAGGTGATTCCGAGGAGCCGCTCGGCGAAATCTAAGATCAGCGGACAGAAAGTTCCCAAGGCGGGAGCGGAAAGGAGGGGAGGCTGCTCCCGCAGTGCCCCTTCCCGGAGAAATAAGTGCCCCACGCACGAAACGTCTAACTTCGCGAAATAAGAAATGTCAAGAATTCTGCCCAAACGCAGGCCCTTTCTCATAAGGAGGCAATCTTCTCACTACAATATAAACTTTTAAGTCCACTAATCCCTAAATTACAAAAGTACGAGCCACGTTAAAATTTTCAGCTAAATCCCGAATTTCCAAATTGACCGCAGCTCTCGGCCTGAGGTCCGGCGCTCTGCACGGGGCCAGAGAAGTCTGGGCGGGCCGTGGGGGCTGGCGCCCAAGGCGCGTTGCGGATGCCACGGAGGCCCCCTGCACCGGTCTGTGCTCCCCAGGAGGATGATGAGAGACCACTGGGGCAGCCGCCCAGGCCGCGGGGCGGGATTCCAAGGCCCCAGCCAGACTGAGTCACTGATCTGTCGCTAGTCGAAGGCGCCCAAAGGAAAAAATGTCTTGTTTGGATTCCTTCGCGGGCAGTAGCCCGCAGCCTGGGGCGGGAGGGGATGACGGCGAGGGAAAGAGAGAGCGGGCTCAAGGCACCACCGGGGAGGACGCGGGGGCAGGGCGCAGGCGCACCCCGCGAGAGGGGTCAGGGTCGTCCGGCCCCAAAGGCAGCTAAACCGCTGCGGAGGGACCGCGGGAAGAGGAGCCCCACGACCACGTCGAGGCGCACACTCAACGCCGGGGGGCGCTCTTCCCCGCTGGCGTAGCTCTGCGCCCGCGCGCTCCGCCCCTCTGCGCCCTAGAAGAACCACAAGACACGCGGACTCACGGGGCAACCTACGCCAAGCCTCCTCTTTCTGGCCACACGGGTCTAAGGTTCTCCTGGCCGGTTCGCTCCTCCGGGCGCCGGACCGGCGGGAGGAGGTAGAGAGTTTGGAGCCCGAGCCTCACCGGAGGCGGTACAGCCTCCGGGTCAGCGCCGCGCTGTGCGCACCAAGCTTCGGGACAATGGGACCGCGGCAGCTGCTGCTTGTTGCCGCGGGACTGAGTCTGTGCAGCCCGTTGCTGTCGGCCGAGACTCGTGGCCGCCATCCAGGTAAGAGCTGCCCTGCGTATTTCCCCCCAGCCCACCCTGGGCCCCGCAGCTGGGGTCCTCCTTGCTTGGGGCAGGCTATGAGGAGGAGGGACGCTGCCGGGGACTAAGTGGGTACAGGTTGCTTCTTCTCCGAAAAGGGGTTGTCCCCGACCTCACACTGTGCCTCACTTTCCTTCAGAAGCCAAACAGGCGTCTGGGCTGAGGTCCCCATTCTCCCCCAGTCCTATCCTGACGGAAAGTGCCCATCCACCCACCCCGCCTCGCGGGCTCAGCTGAAGTCCCTTTGCACTGGGTTTCGGGGAATGCACCGGCCTGCGAATTAGGGTGTTGGATATGGAGGAGGAGGGCGTCGGATTTTCCTGGGGAAGCCTGTGGCGCCTCATTGCGTTTGTTATCACTGTTTCAACCAGCACCACCTCAAAGAAGGAGTCTCACATTGCTACACCAGTAAATGTTCTGGTCTCTTCAGTATAAATTGGGGACCCTCTCCCGTTGAAGTTTTGTTTTTTTGAATTTTTTTCTTGCTCATTTTACAGGCAGGGAAAGTGGTGTAAAGAAAAGTTCGGTCCTTTGGCACGTTTAGTAGAAAATAATCATCAGCAGCCCCTGGCATGGGCCTTGGGCGCCGGAGCTCGTGGGGCGGGATATTGGGTGATAACGAAAGCCACAGGGAGGTGGGAGTAATTGGGAAGTTGTCTGGTTTGGTACCGAGAACCCAGCCCCCTAACCTGCCTCTATCAGACACCATGGAATTTCAGTATTTCAGTTTCTGATCTGCTCCTAGCTGGAGGTTGCTCACTAGAATACATTTACTACTAATAGTGTATTTTTAATTATCTAGCCATTTGAGCAAATAAATTTCTTTTACAAACTCTCCCTGCTTAAAAAAAAAAAGCAGGGCAGAGAAGTTGTTTTTAGCCTCTAAAGACACTAGTTATAAAGTGAGAAAAAGGCATTCTAATGTCTTTGTAGCAATATAGTACTTTATAAGCTTTCAGCCACTTCATGCAGAAACAAATTCTAGCTTGTTTAGTTATCTGTGAAAGATTGTGTACTATTGTTTTCACACTGAAAAATAGTGTAGACACATCAAAATTAAGATGTGGCAGTATTTTCTCTGCCCTCTATCTTTGCTCCGGGTAGTTTTGAGGTGATGCTTTTAGAAAAAGTAAGAGTCCCAGACAGGAGCATGATCTCTCAGAGTGTTTGGGGGAGATGATGCGATCTGAAAAACTGTGTATGGTGATATGTGTTGCCAGGTAGCTGGAATGGGCTCTTAAAAGTACAAGGTTTTGATAGAGATTTGGATAGTGGATGGAGAACAGATTTATACAAAGCTTCACCTGCCTTAGTCACTTTTCCTCTTGCTGGAAGGTGTTTGGCTGTTAGGGAGTGAAGCTACTTCAGCTGCTGTTTCTGCCACTGCTCTTCACTTCCTCAGCAACCCTCTGGATGCGTGCTGAGATGCATGCTGCTGGTGTAGACAAAAGATAGCTGAGCAAACATTGGCTAAGTTATCTACACCGGATTCTGGAACCACTTTGGGAGGAGGGTGAGAGAAGAAGAGGAACGCATGTTAAGTGCCATATTGGGTGTTGTCCAACCCTGGGCCAGGAGGCATTTTTACTTCAAATGATCTCATCTCACCTTCCCAAAACACCGGGTCAGGTGGGTGTTCATCCCCACTTGCCAATTCTGAAACTAAGGCTCAGAGACAGGGCACCAAAATTCCAGTGGGGGCGGGGCCCTGGGTGCAGGCAATGAGTGGGATGTCATCTTGAAAGAGTTTGAAATCACTGATACAATTAATTAAAAAATAGGTTTGCTTTCTAGTATCACTGTACACTGGCAATTCTAAACAGTATCTGTTGTAACCAGCTCTACGTGGTTAGAGGGTCTGTGAGACTCCAGCCACAGGAGACCCCTCCAGGGCTTGCTCTGCCTACCAGTTTGAGCCTGCGCAAGCCCCATCCTCTTTGTCTCCACTCCTTTTGGCATTTCCTGCGCTGTCACTTTGTGCGTAAGTCATCTCCCTGGCTAAGATTATAAACCACCATTTATCCCCACCAAGCTTAAGACAAATGTTTGCTCAGCAGATAATTACTCAGAAATTCTTAGTACACCGGTTCATTAACCAGTGTACATTCCTTTGTCCAGGCAATTTAAGTGAGATGACTTGCCTTCATCAAAGAGGACCAGTGTCTAAGAGGTGATGTTTGTCAGTTTTATAAGGACCTGGAGGGGAAAGAGATCGAGGATAACTGATGATGACTGTAGCAGAGAGGACTGGGTGGGAGATTCCATATGCTGGCCCCTGGGCCCACAGGGTCAAACCCAGTTTCTTAGTCCAGAGTGAGGCCCCCCTCCCCTTGCAGGATGGGTCCCCAGCCTCTGTCTAGCCTCCCTTATTACAGATCCTCTCCTATTACATACCTGATTATACTACCTGCACTTCACCCAGCCCTCTGGCCAGAACGCCTTCCCGCCCCCCCCCCCCCATGTTCACTTTTAATTCAAAACAGCTACCTAATATCAAGAACCTATTACAGCCAACACCCTGCTTAGGCACATTACATATCCTATCTTATTTTCTTCTCATAACAGCTCTTTGAGTGAGTGTTGTGCCCATTCTACAGGTAAAGAAACTGAGACCCAGAATGGTTAAGTCACAAGCCTAGTGTGGAACTGAGATTAGAGCACAGGCCTGTCTTCCCTGAGTGCAAGCTTTCTCTACCACCCGTCTAGAGAGGGGGCCTTCCAGGCCAGCAGCCCCTCCTGCAGTAGAGCAATAACTCCACTGTGCTTTCAGGCCCTTAAGAAGGCAAAGTCTGTGCCCCATCGACTTGGTAGCCCAGGCCTACCACATTTTTGCATGGATTTATGGGTGACTGTGGTATCCTACCATTTGCTTAGAAAACGGACAATAAAACAGGCTATAAATAGATTCCCATTATGAATATGCTAATTAATTGGCTGTTACTGAGAGATTGTCATCTTAAGCCCAAACAAAAGACATAAAACTGGACAGTGATTCCGCTTTGAGTAGACTAGAAGCCTCTGAAAGTCAAATTTCTTATGAACCAGCTAGTTGTTTTCTACTCCAGTGTTTATCTAAATTATTCCCTTCTTCCTTTTTTTCCTTCCTTCTCCCTCTCATGCATGCAGGCATGCATTCATTCATTCCTTAGTGGTTTTTTGGCCTTTTTTTTTTTTTTTTAGTATTTTTTAAAATCTTCACCTTGAGGACATGTTCCATTGATCCTTGGGGGAGGGCAGAGAGAAAGAAACATGGTCTGTTGCCTCCCCTAGGCACCCAAATGAGGGAGAGGATGGGGCAGAATTGAACTGCAACCCAAATATATGCATGGAACCCAGATACATGACCTGGAATCGAACCTGAAACCCCTTGGCGCAGGGGACAACCCTCCAACCAACAAGAGGGCTTGGCTTTATTTTCGTAGGACATATCAAGAGAGTAGGTTCTCTCCTAACTTGTCCACTCTTCCTTTGAGCAACGGCATTTTTTGAGGCATTCCCATCCCTTTGTCAGGAATATGCTCATGTCACCTCTGCTGGTCCCCTTTCGACCCCCTCCATCTTTCTCGTTTGGCATTTCTCAATCCTTTATGTCTAAAGGGAGGACTGTGCTGTGAACTGGCAACTTCTCAGCAGCTCTGAGTTCGCTCCTCTCGGAAGTGCTTTCGGCCAGTCTCCTCCCCCCAGCCTTCTGCCCCTTCCCTCCTCACTCGTCAGCTCGGCTCTGCCCTGGTCACCCTCACGAACCGGAACTCACTCGAGACTTGAGCTGCAACCCCACTGAGACAGTGGGGTCCCCGGACCCTGCGTTTCGAACCTTCTCATTCTCCTCATTTTGGAAACACATCCCTCTTTTCCCTTGAATTTCTACTTTCTTTCTCTCTCTTTTTCTTTCTTTTTTAAATTGAGATCAATTTTATGTAGTATAAGAGTAGCCATTTTATATGACTTAGTGGTATTTAGTACATTTGCAATGTTGCACAATCGCCACCGCTGTCTAGTTCCGGAGCATTGTCATCGTCCAGAAAGGACACCCGGTGCCCATCAAGCCCGCGGCCCTCATTTTCCCTTTCCCTAGCAACCACCCATTTGTTTTTCATCTCTCTGGGTTTCCTCTGCTCCATGTTTCATATAAATGGAATCATCAGTTCGTGGCCTTTTATTCTGGGGAACTACCCTTTAACTAGTTTCTGCCAGTGCCTGGGCTTCCTGTTTGCTGTGGGTACTCACAGAAACTTCCTGGAGGGCCCATTAGGAACGTCGGCCTTGGTTTCTTTTTGACTGTGATGTAGCACTGAGGACCGTGCAGTTTCAGTGTTCAGACTTGTCTATTTTGCTATTTTGTGGTTTCTTTCATTCTGCCTTTTGCTCTTTCCTGCTTAGGCCTAGGCTGTCAGAGTAAATAGCTCTCTCTGTCGGCTGAGTTGGGATTTCTGGATTTGAGCTTCTGCTCTCCCCAGATGCTCCCTCCCACCTCGACTCCGTGACGGTACTTGGAGAAACCCACTGAAGGTCTGCTCCCTTCCCTCTGCCCCAAGGCATCCGATGAAGTTTACCATTTAAAAGGTCATCACGTGCCTTCATATGTTTCTATATCTGCTTTCACAAGAACCTGCCTTTTGAAATAACAGGAATACTCTATAATTTGCCCTTGAAAACAAATTTATTTACCTTTAAGAATGGACACTGTATATCTAATCTACTTATATCTCAAGTTTGTGACAAATTAGAAGTCAGATATTAAATCATCACAGAAGTGTGTTTTTCAGTATTTTCTCTTTTTTGCTAACCAACAGCAAGAGCTGCGAGAAACACACTTGCTGTCGTGACACAGTAGCAGTGTGTGTTCGGTGATCACGCGTGAACAACCACAGTGTGCATACCGAAGTGAGACAAAAGTTTTACCAAAAAATACTCCGCCTTGCCATATGCTATCCATTCTGATATTTTCTGCACTATTCTAC